TGAAGAGGACACCGATGAGAAACGAAAGAGACACCGAGAGAACGGAAAGGCTTATACTGTGAGCTTTCAGTGAGGCAACTTGAGCCTTTGAAGGTGCTGTCACACTAGCACTTTTTCCGTCAATTTTTTTGACAATTTTATTTAACATAAGTACAAACATTCTCGAATATAGCTCTTGGTTTGACTATGCTTGGCTGAAAAAGTTGACGGAAAGGTTTTCAGACGGAAACGATCATTATCGTCTGACTGGAAAATCGACAATTCGCTCAAAAAATGGACAAAATTTCAGAAAATTGTCATTAAAAAATTGACGGAAAAAGTGCTAGTGTGACAGCACCTCTAAGGTACGTTCAGACTGCAGAAACTCGGTATGGATCTCGCAATCTTCTCCCTAACTCTTGCTATTCTTTCATGTTTTTGGGAATTCTAACCTTTTCTAAGAGGGAATAAATTGATTCAGAATTCCACATTTCGAATATTCACGGGATCTGCGGTTTCAACTTGAAGTTGGCGGCTACGCGTTTGTTTATATTCGTCGGTCAAACGAAAATCCAAGGTCAGTGCTCTTGCTTTTACTTTTTATTCGTATTCTAGCTTAAATTTTAATGTAAATATTGATGTAAAACTAGATATGAGTAATTTTGAATGACTGAAAATATACATCATATTTATGCTTTGAAATGAAAATATATACATACCATGCATACTATAGAGTCTCAACTTTTCCATTCGTCCATCGATGGACAAGTGGATATCCATCGCATCGCACGTGTGGGCGAAAGTCCAGTGAATTGGGTCCATCGATGGGCAAATTCCATTAAAAATCGCTGGATTTCGTGAATCTATGGGCAAGCTGATCGTACCTTTAACTACGGCACACACGCGATACTGAAAGATCATTGGCTTTCACTAATTTTAAATCACTGGTGTTCATTAGCCTAACGCATGTGAAGATAATGGCAAATATAATTAAAAGACAATGCCATGTTACTGATAATAATAATGATAATAACAATAATGATGATGATAGTAATGTTATGGTGATAATGATGATAATACCAATCATTTTTGCAATGATGATCAGGAAAGCAGCAGTCATAATATTAGTAATAATAATAATGACGATGAAAATATTAGTAATGATAATGGCATTGAAAAGAAACTTCATAATAAGCACACGACTCGCTTCAAGGTATTCTTACGTGGAGAAAAAAAGGAAAAATAAATTTCACATTATGGCTTTGATAATTTTTCCAGTATGTATATATCGATATGATAATGATAGTGATGATGATGATGATTATATAATGATAATGATGATAATATAACAAAAAATCAACAGAATAAATGGAAAGATTATTACACGGTAAAAAGAAAAAAAATAAATCAAAATCATGAAATAAAAAAACGAAAATATAAAAAAAAGAAAAAAAGAAAATTCATAAATCATGAAATCAAAAAGAAGAAAATATTAAAAAGAAAAAAAAAAAAAGAAGAAAACCGAAATCACAAAAAAGAAAAATTAACAATAGAAAAAAAAAAAAAAAAAAAAACACACACAAACAGTAGTACTCTCCACCACCGCCCTCCTCGCACGCAAATTGAAATAAGACTTTTTGGCTCCTTGCAACACTCGCCTCGCAAGGATATGACAGACTCGGATTTGTGTGTTAATGAAGAGGCCGACGCGATCGCCTCACGAGATCGTGGAGAGAGCCCGAAGAGCGTGAGGAAAAGAGGATGGGTCTGGCAGCGATTTTTCTCCAAGATTTGCAGATAAGGGGATCCAGAGTGTGTGTATATATATATATATATATATATATATATATATATAGATAATATATATACACACACACACACACACACACACACACACACACATATCTATCTATATCTATATATATATATATATATATATATATATATACATATATATATTATATATACATGTATATATACATATAAATATATATATATATATATATATATATATAATATATATATATATATTATATATATATATATATTACACATACACATATGTATATATATATATATATATATATATATATATATATATATATATATATATTATATATATATATATGTATATATATCATATGTATAAACACACACACACACACACACACACACACATATATATATATATATATATATATATATATATATATATATATATATATATATATATATATATATATATATATATATATATTATGTGTATATTTGGCCCTGGCCAGGGGCGGCCACAGGGCTATAATTAACAACTTTCATACCATAGAAACCATCACCATATAACCAGAGACCTACTTAAGTTTACTTTTTCTCAGCAACCACAAGGAGTTGGGGGGAGTTCTTGAGCGCGTTAGGTTCTGCATAGCATAGGATATGTGGCGTTCGATAAGGGGTCCCTAAAAAGGGTTTAGGACGTGAAAACCTAGACCCCTTAAATGCACCCCGAAACAACGGCAAGGGTTACAGAGGTGGTCCAGGGTGCTATGGAAAGCTATCACAGAGTAAATGAGAATTGGTATGGTTTAAACACCCCTAAACAACGGAATGGGTTAAGGCACTGTCACACTAGCACTTTTTCCGTCAATTTTTTGACAATTTTCTGAAATTTATCCATTTTTGAGCGAATTGTCGATTTTCCAGTCAGACGATAAGGATCGTTTCCGTCTGAAAACCTTTCCGTCAACTTTCTCAGCCAAGCATAGTCAAACAAGAGCTATATTCGAGAATGTTTGTATTATGTTAAATAAAATGTCCAAAAATTGACGGAAAAAGTGCTAGTGTGACACGGCCTTTAGAGAGATGATCGAGGGTGCTATGGAAGGCTATGATAGAGTAGAGGTGATTGGGCACGGTTTGAGATCTCGCATTCCCTTTAAATATAGCGGGCGTAGGTACATGCATCACCTTTTCAGGGTGGCGCCTCTAAATTGCATTTGAACATGACATATATATATATATATATATATATATATATATATATATATATATATATATATATATATATATATGTTCGTGTGCATGTATGTATGTGTGTGTGTGCACGTATGTATGCATGTTTATATGTATTCATGTGCATACATATGTATATATACATAAAATTAATGCTCATATGCAAATGTGTGCCCATGTGTACTCAAATCTTATCAACATGAATATACAGCTCCTGTGATCGCATTTCGTGCAAATAACACCTCTAAGAAACCCTCACTGGTTAACAGAATCTATGCAAATTAATCTCTCTCGCGAACAGAGAGCAAAACAAAACAAACAAAACAGAGCAAACAAAAACAAACAGCAAAACGAACAGAGGCAAAACAAAAATAGAGAAATAAAGCAGGAGAGAGGAAAAGTGGGTTAGACATGCACAAAGTCAACTCCGAAGTGCCGACCTTCACCGAGCAGACATGACTAACCGAACGCATCACCTTTTTGGGATGTAATGATAAAGCTTACCTTTCACACGTCTATTTATTTTTCGTTTTATTTTTTTATTTTTTGCAAATTTTCTGTATCCTATTAGAGTCCGATTCCCTTCCATGTTCAGCGCCCCTTGCCGTCGTTAGCGCGTCGTCTTAATCAATTTAATGTTTCTAAACTCATCGTTACTTCACGCGTTTGGGGTACAAGGTGGTTTACAAGGCGCGCGGGATGCAGGTCGCGGGATGGATGCGGGTCGCGGGATGGATGCAGGTCGCGGGATGGATGCATGGATGCAGGTCGCAGGTCGCGGATGGATGCAGGTCGCGGGATGGATGCAGGATGGATGCAGGTCGCGGGATGGGGTCGCGGGATGCAGGTCGCGGGATGGATGCAGGTCGCGGGATGGATGCAGGTCGCGGGATGATGGATGGGTCGCGGATGGATGCAGGTCGCGGGATGGATGCAGGTCGCTGGATGCGGGTCGCGGATGGATGCATGTCAGGTCGCGATGGATGCGGGGATGATGCGCGGGATGGATGCAGGTCGGGGATGGATGCAGGTCGCGGATGGATGATGGGGTGCAGCGCGGGATGGATGCAGGTCGCGGGATGGATGCAGGTCGCATGGATGCGGTCGCGGGATGGATGCAGGTCGCGGGATGGGGTCGCATGGATGCAGGTCGCGGGCGGGATGGATGCAGGGTGCGGGATGGATGCATGCAGGTCGCGGGATGATGCAGGGTCGCGGGATGGATGCAGGTCGCGGGATGCAGGTGGATGCAGGTCGGCGGGATGGATGCAGGTCGCGGGATGGATGCAGGATGGATGCAGGTCGCGGATGGAGGTGCGGGATGGATGCAGGTCGCGGGATGGATGCAGGTCGCGGGATGGATGCAGGTCGCGGATGGCGGGTGCGGGATGATCCGGATGGATGCATCGCGGGATGGATGCAGGTGTGCAGGTCGCGATGATGGATCGCGGATGGATGCAGGTCGCGGATGGATGCGGTCGGGATGCAGGTCGCGGTCGCGGGATGGATGCAGGTCGCGGGATGGCGGTGGCGGGATGGATGTCGCGGATGGATGCGATGGATGCAGGTCGCGGGATGGATGCAGGTCGCGATTGGATGCAGGTCGCGGATGGATGCAGGGGATGGATGCACGATTGCAGGTCGCGGGATGGATGCAGGCGGATGGATGCGGGTGGCGGGATGGATGCGCGGTCGCGGGATGGATGCATGCAGGTCGCGGATGGATGGGTGCGGGATGGCGGGGGATGGATGCAGGTGCGGATGGATGCAGGTCGCGGGATGGATCAGGTCGCGGGATGGATGCAGATGCAGGTCGCGGGATGGATGCAGATGGTCGCGGATGATCGGGTCGCGGGATGGATGCAGGTCGCGGGATGGATGCAGGTCGCGGGATGGATGCTGGTGGCGGGATGGATGCAGGTCGCGGGATGGATGCGCGGGATGGATGCAGTCGCGGATGGATGCAGCGATGGATGCAGGTCGCGGGATATGCGGGTCGGGATGCAGGTCGGATGGATGCTTGCGGTCGGCGGTGATGATGCAGGTCGCGGGATGGATGCAGGTGGCGGATGGATGCAGGTTGCGGATGGATGCGATGGATGCAGGTCGCGGATGGATGCAGTGCATGGATGCAGGTTGCGGTGCAGGTCCGGGATGGGATGCAGGTCGCGGGATTGGATGCAGTTGCGGATGGATGCAGTGTTGCGGGATGGATGCAAGGTTGCGGGATGGATGCAATGGGTTGCGGGATGGATGCAGGTCGCGGGATGGATGCAGGTTTGCGGATGGATGGGATTGCGGGGTGGCATTGCAGGTCGCGGTGGATGGGATTGCGGGATGATGCAGGTCGGGATGATGCAGGGGATGCAGGATTTGCGCAGGCGGGATGATGCAGGTCGCGGGATGGATGCAGGTTGCGGATGGATGGGGGATGGATTGCAGGTTGGGATGGATGCAGGTGCGGGATGGATGCAGGTTCGCGGGATGGATGCAGGTTGCGGGATGGATGCGGTTGCGGATGGATGCAGGTTGCGGGTTGCGGGATGGGATGCAGTTGCGGATGGATCGCGGGATGGATGCAGGTCGCGGGATGCAGATGGTATGCAGGTCGCGGATGGATTGCAGGTCGCGGGATGGGTCGCGGGATGGATGCATTCGCGGATGATGCAGATGCGGGATGGATGCAGTTCGGGATGGATGCAGGTTGCGGGATGGATGGCGGGATGGATGCAGGTCGGGGATGGATGCGCGGGATGGATGCAGTCGCGGGATGGATGCAGGTTGCGGGATGGATGCAGTCGCGGGATGGATGGATGCAGGTTGCGGGATGGATGCAGGTCGCGGGGATGGATGCAGGTCGCGGATGATGGGAATGCAGGTTGCGCATGTGGATGCAGGCGGGATGGATGCAGGTTGCGGGATGGATGCAGTCGCGGGATGGATGCAGGTCGCGGGATGGATGCAGGTGCGGGATGA